TTAACCAAGTGGATATGGAGACTAAAGACAAACAAAGATGAACTATGGTGAAGAGTAGTTATCAGGGCGATTCACAATCTGGACCGTAAACCTATGGCGAAGTTGGCAAAAAAAATATCTTCCTGGTGCGTTGGGGAGTATTGTAAAGATAAAATATTACCTTGACAATCTCGGGTTAGGTATTGAATCATTCTTCTATTATGAAAACGACACAGGTTCTGATACTCTTTTGGTTGGATCATTGGATTGGCTCTGATGTACTTTCAAATATGTTCCCTCTTCTGTTCAAACTCGAGAAGTGAAAGTATGCCTTCGTCTTTGAACGATTCAATTCTATTGGTTTTATCGGCACCTGAAAAAAGGCTTTCACGTTCCTCTCTTGAACTCTTGGAATTATCTCGACTGCGGGCATTGGTGGACTCAACCCGACTTTCTTCCTTAAATTCTGATAAGTTAAATTTCAATCGCTCTCTTGATGGTGTGTTTTATGTCGATTGTTTATGGAGAATAATTGACTCAAAATTTACTTGATCCTCAGCCAAACCTATTGGTATGGATTAAAATGGTCCCGATAATGGTGATGACCTTCATATGGAGAGCTTGTCTAGATCGCATACCTGTTAAGATTTATGGAGTCTTGAACAAATTGACAAGTTCCTAAGAGTTCAAGGGCCATAAATGTAACATTACATTTAACAATTGAATTATTCAATTGTTGTCGGCAAACGTTTGAATTAAATATTCAAATGGTCGGTGGACAATTATTTAATATTTGTTGGACGGCTAATGTGAATGGCAAAATTTTCAAAGTCAATCTTTGCGGCATCCTGTGCATATTGCGGCTCACAAATATACCTATATATATGCATGTATGTTTTGCATATTTTGTGTGCAAAACTTGAGAGAACATCAAGTGTAGAGTGTCAAGCCAATTGTAATCTTGTGAGTTTTAATAAAATTCTCTAGTTGCAGCCCGTGGACGTAGGATTTGCACCGAATCCGAACCACGTAAAATCTTTGTGTTCTTCTTGCTTTATTTTCGTGAGTTTGTGTGTGTGTGATAGTGTGTTTCCGCTGCGTGTACCCGGTCCGGTTCCTAACAACTGGTATCAGAGCCAGATTAGCGAGGTTTGGAGGGTACAATCATTTTTTTTTATCACGCACGAGTGTACCTGATTTGTATCTTGTTTGTCGTAATGGCTGAAGACAAGGTTGTAATCGAAAAGTTCAACGGTTCTGATTTTAGCTGGTGGAAAATGCAATTAGAAGCATTGCTATGTCAGAAAGACTTGGACATGGTACTCGGAGACAAACCGGAGAAAATGGAAAAAGCTTTTGAAGATGCGTGGAACTCAAAGGACAAGAAAGCTAAGGCAGTTATTACATTGTCGTTGACGAAGAGCGTTGCTTTCAACATCATGAATGAAACCACGACGCGTGGTATGATGGAGGCTCTGTCAAATATGTATGAGAAACCATCGGCGGCTAACAAGGTGTTCTTGATGAAGGAGTTGTTCACTACAAGGATGAATGAGGAAGGCTCAGTTACGGTTCACATTAACAATCTAAATTCAATTGTGTCCAGATTATCATCTGTGGGAATTAAATTTGATAACGAGACTCAAGCATCACTGCTACTAGCTTCTCTACCTGATAGCTGGTCCGGAACAGTTACTGCTGTTACGAGTTCCGTGGGGACCAGTGGTATGACTTTTGAAGGGGTTAGAGATTTGGTTCTTGGCGAAGATATCAGACGCAAGAATCAAGGTGGATCTTCTTCTTCTGATTTATTAAATGTCGGAAGAGGTAGAGGGAATAGCAGGAGCAGTGGGAGTCGGGGAAAAAAGTTCTTCTAGAACTTTGAAGAATGTGAAATGCTGGAACTGCCAAGAGGTGGGACATGTTAAGAGTCAATGTCCAAAGAAAGAATTAAACATTGCTGGTGCTGAGAGTGTGTCTGAGGATGATGCACTGATACTCAATATGGAAAGTTCTGTGGACTCTTGGGTCATGGATTCAGGGGCTTCGTTTCACGCCATGGACAACGGGGAAACGATGGTGAATCTAAAAAAAAGGAGATTTTGGAAAGGTACGGTTAGCAAATGACGAGATGCTTCAGGTAACGGGCATGGGAGATATTGATTTGGTTACTTCATTGGGAACTACATGGAGCCTGAAAGATGTCAAGGTGATTCCGGAGCTGAAGAAGAAATTGATTTATGTTGGTCAGCTGGATAAACAAGGACTGGAAGTAAGGTTTGGTAGTGGTAAATGGAGGGTGGTCAATGGTGATCTGGTGATTGCTAGTGGTATGAAGTGTGGGTCATTGTATATGGTTGAGGTACCTGCTGAGGGAAGTATGAACGTCCCTATTAAACAAGACAAAATCTGGTTCGCTAAATCTACGGCTAAGAGAGTTCATTTTGCAAACATGAATTCTGGAGCCAAAGAGATGTTAGCTGAACGAGTTCGAAAGTCTAAACCATTCAGGGGATTCTGTGACAGTGGGAGCACGGGACGTGTTTCGGGTACAGTTACAAAGAGCCGTTGGGTTTTGAAGACTAAGACTGAAAAATTCTCTCCTGTTGGAAGTTTGCAAAGATTGGAGAGTGTTAGTGGTCCTCGGTGTATCTCTGGATCTGGTGGAGTGTCCAAACCGGTTGAGACAGAGGATGAGTCGGTGGTGGGATTAGCCACGACTGAGTTGGAGCTAGTGGGAGCTTCAACTGGCCCTTCTAGTACTTGAAGATGAGGGGCGGCTGCAATTAGAGAAATCAGACTAAGTTTTAGCTTGTTCTTTGGAACTGGAAGCTTGAAGGACTTGGTTGTTTTAAGATTACTGGAGTTGGATGACAGAGACGGACCATGTTGTTCAAGCCTCCAAGTGGGAGATTGTTAAGATTTATGGAGTCTTGAACAAATTGACAAGTTCCTAAGAGTTCAAGGGCCATAAATGTAACATTACATTTAACAATTGAATTATTCAATTGTTGTCGGCAAACGTTTGAATTAAATATTCAAATGGTCGGTGGACAATTATTTAATATTTGTTGGACGGCTAATGTGAATGGCAAAATTTTCAAAGTCAATCTTTGCGGCAATCCTGTGCATATTGCGGCTCACAAATATACCTATATATATGCATGTATGTTTTGCATATTTTGTGTGCAAAACTTGAGAGAACATCAAGTGTAGAGTGTCAAGCCAATTGTAATCTTGTGAGTTTTAATAAAATTCTCTAGTTGCAGCCCGTGGACGTAGGATTTGCACCGAATCCGAACCACGTAAAATCCTTGTGTTCTTCTTGCTTTATTTCCGTGAGTTTGTGTGTGTGTGATAGTGTGTTTCCGCTGCGTGTACCCGGTCCGGTTCCTAACAATACCCACTGCCTTGGCCCTTACTTCCAGAGGTGTGCATATCGCTTCTTTTTCCTGCCCTTTGTGTCTACAGGCCGGTGAATTCGTAGATCATCTCCTTGGTTCTTGTTCGTTTACTCAAGAAGTGATGCATTGGATTTTCAAAAGGTATTCCATTTCACCTCCCAGTTTCTCTACAGTGGGGGGTGGAATAAACTATGTTGTTAATTGGGAAAACTCTCCAAAGAAAAGAAAAGTGTTGTTACCCATCATCTATGGTACTTTGTGGTGTGTTCGGAAGGCAGGAAACGATAAAGTGTTCAAAAAGGTACATACTACCCCTTCGAAGACAGTCGATAATGTCATTTATTTGGTGTTTGGATGGGTTAAACATAGGAGTAAAACAGGAAAATGTAATTGGACTGCCTGGAGTTGTAATCCCTTTTTGTTTTTGTAACTTTCTTGGGTTGTTTGTTTTTTTCCCTGCCCCTGCATCTTGCTAGGCAGTGGTAATAAAATTTTGCTGGTTCAAAAAATTAAACAGTACGAAATCAAAATTAGCAACCGACATTGCATAGAAGGCAAACATGTGATTGGGAATTTCTCGATAGTACAGATGAAGTGATCGTCTGATCATTACATACAACCATACTTTTTATGGGAAAACTGATGTAGATATAAATGTTGGTAAATTAATCTTGCAATAGATTAATTGTGTCTGCTACATTTGTTACAAATCGATTAACGCTAGCCTCCTGTTATAATTAATTAATTATTACTCGAATTATTTTCATTGGAAATATATTGTCTCTTCGAATCTTTATATCTGTCAATGATAATAATGACATTTACTTAACTGGTTATTATATAATTAGTTTTTTTACCAAATGTAGTATCATTTTCTTCATATAATTATCATCTTACACATTCTTTCCATTCATAAAAATATCAGACAAGATATCAAAGCATTATTAAACTTTTACTTATAGATGTTTTGTTAATATTTTGATTTTAGGTTGTAAAAAATCATTTTTTAATTTAATATATAAAATTTTCATGTTCATACTTAATTGATCGTTTTCGCACAAAATATGTTCTCGGTATCGAACATATGTTGCGGCCAGTGTACCAAACGTAATTAATTTGAAGAAAGTTACGACTGTGGATAGTTGTTTCTTAGATCGATCTAACATATTTTACAGCATGCGCAACGGACATATATATTTTCTCGGTGAGCGACTTTTCACACAGAACATAATATTAGTTACCCCATATGATAAATTAAAACTACAATTAAACAACTTATTTCTAAGATCAATAACTTTGAGCCCACGTTTACACGGGCCTATATATATATATATATATATATATATATATATATATATATATATATATAAATCTTACTATTTCTATAAATAGATTTAAGACGTCCAAATGTTTAAGCTAACAGTACAACAAACCATTTAAGTCCTGCAAAATACAATGCAAGAGGTACAAGTGTTTAATATACAATCAATACATATCGAAACATTCAAATAGTAGCTCTTATCTTTCCCAATATAGATGATAACATAGCATTTGAATTTTAAATAAAATATACTTTTGACCGGGCTTCCTCTTATCTTTCCCTCTTTATCTCTGTTTATGTTTGATCGGGTCCTCTTCAAAGTTGAACTACCATATGAATTGCCATTTAGTTCACCAAACTTCATTCTACCAAACTTTAAAATCGTGCTTCTCTCTCCACACAATTGGTTGCACGATTATCCAGTTGCTTCGTCATCTTCTTCGATTTTGGTACACACCTTAAGAACTCCACCACCGTTAGCACCATGCTCGCCACCACCTTCATCGGAAATACAAGCCTCTCCATAGTACCATCATATATTCCTTCCACCACCGGCATCTCTCTCTGTAAAAGAATCCCTAAGCACCACAACCACAATAAATCTTCGATCTCTCCCTTACACTTTTACCACTTTTAGTTTCTCTCCCTTCCCTCTTTCTCTATGAAAACTCTAGATTGTCAAGGGTTACCACTTAACCTCCTTCTCCATGTCTCATTCTTCAATTTTCATCATGTTTAACTTTCCTCATCGCTTTTTTTTCACTTATTCGTTCAACCTGGAACTCATTTCTGCTCCTCCCTCACAGGCAAAGATAGGTTGAGTTACATATCAATTTCCTAATCTCCATTTCATCTTCAAAATTCAAATGGAACCATTTCATTTGTGATTCAAATTTTGAATCCCATTCTCTCTCTCTCTCTATTGAAAATCTCCTCATTCTATCTAAAAACCCTAATTTCTGAATCGCCACTGCCACAGCTACACTAGGACTGCATTACCACTACCCGCTTCTTCCATTAGTGAACCATTGCAAACCTCCACCGTTAGTCTCCGTCTATATTTCTCTCTGTCTATGTACACTCCCCCAAACCACCGACGACGTCACCACCAGTACATAACAGCACCACTGACGCCTCATCACAACCACACCCAGGGAATGATGTATGTGTGTGGCCACACCAACCACACCGGTCAATATACGATTGTGTCAGCAAAGTAGATGGTATAAACTCTATAACTCTTTTATAGTTTTTGTATAATGTATCCATTTTGTATGATCTTTGTAGTATCCATTTTGTATGATCTTTATAGATTTTATCTGGAATGCCTTACAGGGAGGAGCAGTAGCTTGGAGATCATAGACGGTAAAGAAAAGGGATAGTAGATGACATACAAAGTTAGGTGAGATGTGCTTAATATGTTCATTGAGTGGAAATTAGGTATGAATAGCATTTATTCATTTAAAGTGTTTGTGTGTATGCAATTATCATTCAGATGTGGAAGTTACTGTTGACATCCCTAAATTGTTTTGTGATGTTATGTAGTTGCTAAACCATGAGGGATTAGGGAAGAAACATCCTCAGTGCAAAAGGGGGGAAATTTATATACCATTGTATTCCATAACTTATAAATTATAACGTATAATTTTAAGGTGTATAATGGTTACCTGCAGGATAAAGAATTTGACAAGTAGCATGATTTTAATGCATGACAGTTTGGTCTAATTACAAAAGCTTGATTAACTCTTTTATTTGTTCATGTCAGGTTGTTATTTGTTGTTACAATGGTCTTTTCAATCAATTCTTAAGTCTGTTTTGGTTCAACATCTTTAAGAAATCACTTTGCGTGGATGACTTGAATTCGTTGATGGCAAGGTTCCACCCAAAGTATGCAATTTTCACTTTTACTTATTCCTTTAGTTGTGTTATTTTCTTTGTATTCGCATCATTGTAACTTTGTTGCTATTATGTCAATTTGTGACTATGTTGCACCTCAACATGGGTATTAGTGGATGCAGTGAATGCAATGTCACAGACTCACATGAAGATACATGAAGGTAACCTGCTTGAAATGCTTATTTTATATTGATCTTTACTTTTAAATGGTTTAAATGCAAAAAAGTTGTAGTTGCATGGTTTAGTTTTAGTTTTAGTCTTTTTGAGTTAACTTTAATTTATAGTTTTCGTTTTGATATCAAGGTATCACTTCACACATTCTGAGAACACAATTTTAGTTCCAGGTGTTGATCAGGAGAAGTTCTTTTCTGGTACACATAATCTACTAAAATGAGTAAGGCTTGAAGTTTGTATATCAATAGACAAAAGAAATAGGAGCCTGCATATTAAGGTAAATCAAACTGTTTTGGTTTGAAGTTCTTTTGTGTTTGCAATTATGTAGAAAAAAATGGAAAGGTTGTTTCTATTCCTCTGTACTATTTGATGAAGATGAGTTCTGTTTCTGGTTTTGTAGACGGTGAGTGATGTTAATGCGGGCTTGAGTGAGTAATATTACAAAAATTCAACAAAATGGTAATTGTAGTGACATGTAGTCATATGATGGTATGGAATGTGCTCTAAAATAAGGAATCACAAGATCTGACTTCTAAAGTAGAGTAATTTTCAGTTATTCTTAACAAAGGGGAGGGATGACATTCATGCATCGATTTCTAATCTCCAAATGAACCTGCCGAAACATAAATATCACTCACTATTAGGATTTAAGCCTCATTTTGTTATGTTTTAGTTTGTACTCTTTTATTAAATTTATTGTATCATAACATACTTTTTTATTAACTTATGGCGTGCACTTATGAATTAATGAAAATATACATGAGAATTAAAGTAATTATTTTGTATAAAAGTCAACCTTTTAACCATATTTTTAGAAAAAGTCTATCGGTTCAAAATTAAAATATGTTTTTTTTGGTAATATTTTGTAATGGGATAATAAAAAATAAAAATAAAAAATCCTTGAACTGTTTAATAATAATTTATATTGAACGAGGTTCAATATAATTACTATCAACTAATAACATAGTTAACTGGTCGAAGCAATTTTTAGAGTTATTCGCGAGTTTGATAAGATTTTAAAATTTGCTAAAATAACTATGTTTGCAAAATGCAAAAAGAAGGTGCTACTAATTAGTCGTTAGTTTCAATAATTATTTTTTATTATTAAAACGCATTTATCAAGATGAAGATGATTATCTTGCGAGCAAGTGTTGATAGTTGTTGAAAAACATCACTCCTCAATATTTGTACATTTTTAATGAATAATAAAAAGAAAAAGATAATCTTAAGGATGCACAAGTGATTAATACTCTGTATAGCAAGAAATGGTCAATTTTATGCATATTTTCATGCACCCTACAAATACAAAATGAACTGAAAGATGAAAATACATAGACTTTTTAGTACAAAATGAATTGAAATATGAAAATATACGCACTTTTTTTCCCTAAAATAATTACATTCAGTCAACCGATGCTTTGTGTTCTTTGAAATAACTATGTTTTCAAAAATAATCCTATATAGATTCGTCCATTCTAATCCTGATACGTTCTTTGGAATATATGTTTCCAAAATGATAATAATCATCGAAAGAAAACTTATAGCCAAGCTGAATCTAATCTTATTAATACACACACTTTTTTCCCTAAAATAATTACATTCAGTCAACCGATGCTTTGTGTTCTTTGAAATAACTATGTTTTCAAAAATAATCCTATATAGATTCGTCCATTCTAATCCTGATACGTTCTTTGGAATATATGTTTCCAAAATGATAATAATCATCGAGAGAAAACTTATAGCCGAGCTGAATCTAATCTTATTAAACAAAATTCACAACCCACTGCATTGCGTGGGTTATAACTATTTGTTGCCGCAAAAAGACAGGTTGAGTTTACATTTTTTAGTTATTATAATATGATGATTAAAGGTTCACAAAATTGTTATTAAAAATCTTAATATATTTTAGATAAAATTACATAAATGGTCACTAGGGTTTCACAAATTCTTGGTTTTCGTCCCAAATACTTTTTTCGTTACAGATATGGTCCAAATGGATGACCAATCATATTGTTACGAGATATTGACCCATCAAATGGATTGTATAATGACACCTGATTGATATGTACAAGTTTTCAGTAAAATGTCATTGATGCAGAAATAACTGTTGGTCAACATGCTGACAAGATGATAGTTTTGCCAAAGCTTTCTCTACCTCTGTCCGAAGAAGACATGTTCCCATTCAAGCTAAAGATGAAATAATTTCATATTCGATTATGCTTTGCGATGACAATCAATAAAGCTCGGGGACAAACAATTTCGAATGTAGGTATTTATCTTCCAGACCCGGTATTCGCGCATGACCAACTTTATGTTGCATTGTCCAGAGGAGTCTCATGTGGCAATACAAAAGTGTTAGTGAAGCCTAACGAAAATTTCAAACGTGATGAAGTTTATACAACAAATGTGGTATATAAAGAAGTGTTGCGAGATTAATAATGTATTAGCAGTTATGTGTTTTTACACGTTTCCATATTTGGTGTATTATTATATAATTCTATTATTTTTTTTTTCAATGACTTACACGATTTGTATTTTGTGTCGACTTGAACCGTTTATTTTTACCAGTTATTTGATGTATCATGTCAAAAATAACGCAAAAGTTGGATTATATTGTCTTAAACATTTACTTTCTTTTGAAACATAATATTTTTATAAAAGAAACATATAGTTGAAAAAACTATTCGCCGCCGCTGCTTTGCGCGGGTAACGGCTAGTATATATATATATATATATATATATATATATATATATATATATATATATATATATATATATATATATATATATATATATATATATGGTTAGGTTATTTTGTTTCTTGTAACTATTGTGTGTCAAAATGCACAGATCTGCACCATCGGATGGAATATAATCAAAGGTCATGATCTGAGGGTGTATGATAGTACAATAGGGTAAATGTACCATATAATCACACAAATTTCAGCATAAGAGTATTTTAGTCAATTGAGACAAATTTAAAAAAGGAAAAATCGAGATTTATGGGATAATTAATTATTTTGATCTAAAAAATCTGATTTTTTTTCAAATTAATTCAATTTCAAACGTAATTTGTAAACATAAACCGATTTTATTTTGTCCTAATGACAGAAAGTCAACAATAAACTAGTAAATATATTTGCGGTTTTTATTCTTGCAGAATATGGTTTCATTCAAGATACTTTCTATATTAAACATGCTTAAAGAATTATACAACATATTATCAAGAATAAACATTTTCTAAGGAATACAGATTTTATTCTTTAAGAATCACTATTTACATTCATCATCCGTAAAGAATAAGGCTATAAACAATTATTACATGCATTCTAAAAAAATCATGACAAATAATGGTTTAAGGATTACATTTATTCTTAAAGATTAAAACTAAAAATGGTTAAAAAAGAAAAAAAAACATCAAAATATAATAAAAAAACTAATCCATTCCGAAAGAATATTATTGTTAAGAAACCATTTATAAATTCTGACAGAATACATTCTGCTAGAATGCACTATTATTCTCCATGTTTTCTTTATTTTCCACATTAATAACAACCTCTTCAAAACCTAAATTCATAAAGAAAACATAATCAACTTTCAGATATTAAAAATTTTAGTTCATTAAATAGAATAAAACAATAAATTCCGATAGAATGTGATATATATTCAAATAGAATATAACTATAATTTCTACAAACCAACATCAACAATCATCCCTAAACTTGCAATGTAATTTATTCTGAAAGAATGTAATGTTTCATTATTTAGGATGTCATTCTATAAGAATCGAGACCAATAACAAGAATGGATACCAATTCTTTTATGACATAATTGGTTACGGGATTCCATTATGTGGTGTGTTTGGTAATTCACTGCATAAGTTGACTTGGAATTCAAGATTCTATTCTAACAAAATTAGAATTCGATATTCCATTCTAGCAGAATGTTGTAAGGTACATATGTACCCTGTTTTGCTGGAAGGGGGTCAACAACTGCACTAAGATATTTGATGTATACCTTCAAAATGTATAAAAATCATTTTTTATATTTATATGTACATATACTAAAATTGAATTAAAGTAAAAGAGTGATGAAGAGTAAATGGAAATGGACAAAAAATTTCTTTCAGCCATTCCATCGAACAGTTGGCGGGAAAGGATTGCTACACAAAGAATGTGTGACAACCCGAAACTGTTTCCGTTTCTGTTATACGATTTCCGTTAATAAATTTGAATTTTTATTAAGTTTCCGTCAAACTTCTTGGTTTAGAAAATCATCTAGTTTTATATAATTAAAATTTTATATGAGTCGGAACCAAAACTTCATGAAATCTCGAAGTTTACCTTCGATCAAAACGTCGGTTTTCGGCCTGACTGAGTTTACGGCCGTAAACCCGTGTACGGCCGTACACTCGTTTACGGCCAGCATCGGATGGACCCCACCACCGACCTCGAAAACCCCTATAAATACGAGGCCCTACCCCTCATTTACACTTTTCTGGCCGGACACTCTCTCCTTCTCTCTCTAAACTCTCGACCGTACACCCCAAAAACACCCTCATTCTTCCGAGAATCATCAAAAATCACCGTTGGGAGTCATTTCGGAACATCCAGAACACGTTTTTCATCAAATCCAGCAACTCTGTTCTTGAGTGTACGGCCGTACACCCTTCAAATCTGCAAATCTTCATTAACCGTACACCAGTTTACGATCGTACACGCTTCAAACCTTCAAAGGCCGTACACCCTTCGAGAGACAGTTCACAGCCGTAAACCCCGTTCACGGCCGTAAACTCCCTTCACGGCCGTAAACTCCATTCACGGCCGTACACACTTCCTAAGTGGTGCTTTAGTCTGAAAACCCACTTTCCTCGATTCAATCAAGTCCCGGTAACATTCCTTAACCGAAAGCAATTGTTTTTCTAACACTTTATCTAACGAAATCGCTAATTTAGATACATATATGTATTTTTAATTGTTATTAGGATTCCGTTAAGTGCCACACGCTACAACTCGAGGGTCTTCATTCCAGTTCGTTGATTCGACATTTTGCACACAACTAACTGTGAGTTCATACCCCTATGTCTTTACTGTTTTTAACGTTTTCAAGGGGGGAATACAAGTCAAACATAAATGATTTTATGAAACTTATACAAAAAGGATTTCAATAAACTTAAAACGGATGCAAATGATACAAACATACAGTTTCTATACTTTTATAAAATACGTAGATATTTTATCCCTTTGTATTATGCAGAGCATAAGGGAAGTTTTCATCATAATTACAGAGCTTTCAATGTAAAACATGAATTGAATACATGAATGAACATATAAACTATAATAGGTATAGTTTATGAAACAATTAACATATCAATGTATAAATCATAGATTCAATGCTACCAGACATATAAACTATATAATGTGTAGTTTATGAGATATACAGACAACAAGTTAAATTCAATGGATTCATTTTATTCTACATGTAATCGTTAGTATAACATTTTATGAGTAAGCATTCTTCGCGTACTTATTTAAGTACTAACAAAAGCCCTGAGATTATAACCAGAGTCTCCTGGAGGGAGAACGTGAGTTTGTGTATAGATCTATACGGGATTGACAATCCCGCACCATAACTGCTAGCTACAGTTAGGCCGACAGGCCTGGGTGACAAAGTCATTTCGATTCCGACACCTGAAGAACGTCGTTAAGACAATTCAATGGTCAAATATGGTTATAACAACTCATAAATTTGGTACTAAGAAAATACGATTAATGTATGAATGGTAATAACTTTAATTAGTTTTAATATAAAGTAATAGAACTACTATACATATTATGGTTTTCAGAGCTTTCCGAACTTACTATACATATTGGCAATAATCAGGGTTTTTCATGTAAAAAGAGGTTTCATATTCAATCAAACAATGCACAACACATTTAATGAGATTCAGTAACAAAATACACATGTTAGAAAATAATGGATTTTCTTGGAAGCATACAAATACATTTATCGATTCATTAACCGATTTTCCTCTCAAAAACATGTTTATGAACTCACCAGCTTTATGCTGATACTCTTTCAAAACTGCTTGTATTCTCAGCAAATCAGTAGACAGGTACCTCCTAGAGTTTTGAGAAGACGGAGCGTATAGAGCCTCGTCTTTTACTTTTGTCATACTTTTGATGTATATAAATATGAACCAAACAGATGTAAATGTTTTACTTAATCAATGTAATGGTTGTGTTTACTTTGATTACTATGATGCAATTGTTGTGATACTATACATGACGTCATCCACCCCCGAACGTTTCCGCCGTTCCGGTTTGGGGGTGTGACAGAATGAAAGAAAAAAAAACTGGAAATACCAATAATCTTGCAAAATTGATAGGTTAAATGAAGCTTGCATGTAATCGATGCTAGGCGACTGCTGCCTCGAGGTCTCTCCAGAATCGCCAATAACAGTGAAAAGGGAGTGGTGGGGATTGCTGTAGATGACAAGTGGTTTGAGTTGTTGCTGATCGGTAAGAATGGTGAGGAAAAAGTGGTTCTTGGTGGTGTTCGATGGACAACAACAACAACACCACCACCCCTCGATAGTGGTTTTTCCTAGCAGTGAAACACAAAGAAAAAGGAACATGACTCCAACTGAGTCTTCATCGTCGATCGATTACGAAAAAGGAATCAAAAAAAGATTATATATATGGCGGTGGTGCTTCCTACCTGCTGCAGTAACAATAACACTCCATTTGAGTGTTTGAAATTGTTAAGAATTGAAGAAATTAAAAGATGGAGGTCGGCGAAGAGAGGAAGTGGGCAGCAGTGATGGAGGTCGACCACACAAATGACTAGGTCAAATATATTTACTTTATTTCCTTAATTGCAAGATTTCAATTAAATGATTTCCTCAATTAAAAGTACAAAATGTCCAAAATACCCTTTAATGATTTATTATTTCTTGAATTCTTATTGATGCATTTAGGCACACAATACTTGCTAGAAACATTTGAACCTAGCTCTCTCTCTCTCTCTCTCTATATATATATATATATATATATATATATATATATATATATATATATATATATATATAATTCATCTTCTTCCAACTTATCTTGTTCAGTTGCCTTTAATTCTTCTTATTCGTCTGCCTTTGACCTTTCTTGTTCGGCTGCTTTCTGTGCAACCTTCTTCTCCGCCTATATTTGCTCGCAGTTTTCATCATGGGCTTGACTAAACATTCTCACAAACACACACAAAGTTTGAACAACTGAAAGCAATATCATAATTCATAACTTAGAAACTGTAAATCAATTTTTAACATATTATCATGAATGTAAGTTGTTCTGATGATTAGTTACCTTTTTCATATAAGCATTTAGTAGGGTCTTCTTCAAAGTAAATAATTAAATTATCCACACTTTTACCCTGTGTAAAGTGCAGTGTTAAAAACCGGGATACTTATAGCAATCTTTATATTTAGAGGATTTTGTTATACCTACCACCCAAGAGTAGAGTGAGCACAGTGTCTTCACTTCAAGTTCCGCAAAAGCAAGAAACTTTTTCAGAGACTGAACATGGAAAACCAAAATAAAAATTTACGATTAGAGTTTAAGGCAAAGTCAAAGCCAAAGTCCCTGTCCCCAAACCAGTCCTAGTCCAATAACCTCTAGATCAACTTAAAACTGTGGTGAAATTTACTGGTAACATATAATATAATAAGTGCAAGTTTACTTAGCAGTTCAGACCAGATTGGAATTTAAGATTCCATTCCATGACGAGTTTGGTTGCCAAAAAGATGGAACACATGTCTGTGGGGAATCATTCACATTCCATGTTTGACGGATTTCATCGTTCGTAGAGAATGGAAGGGATCCAATTCCATTCCATTTTTATAAAGGACCAAAACCCTCCTTATATATATAGTAAAATATATTTTAAGTGAATGCAAAAAATATTCAACTTTTGTTGGTAAATTTCATTCCAATTCCTGCCAACTCATGATAGAGTGCAATTCTTTGGGATACCAATTCCCTCAAATTGCATATCCTTTGACAGGTTCCATTTATGGCTCTTACCAACTTAATAATGTGCATACCTTCCGATAGCGTGTAGACACGTGTGCATCTCTTTTACACAATTTCTTTTCTTGGACTATTTTATCTAGTCCCTTTGTCATCGCGTACATTTCTTCTCTCAAGAAGTTTAGTTGTATCTGGAATAAGTTGATCATTTTAATCAACAAGAACAAAAGTAACATACTTTATTGAATATAAAAATGTTAATCCAACAATGATCACCTTTGATGCATGTTCCAAGCTGCCAAGTTCCTTGGAAAAATCTAGAAGTTCAGGCAGTTTTTCTGCAAGCACCTAACATATACAACATGGATACCAGAAACAAAGTGAACGAATATATATATATATATATATATATATATATATATATATATATATATATATATATAGAAAACAAACAAATAAATAAAAAGTCTTACCTTACAAAGATAATGCATGAGAGCCGTTTTATTGCTCCTGTCACACGTTTTGTTAAGTCTTAAGAGGCTGTCCAATCCGAAACCAACAGCTGTAGTTCTCTGGTTGAAAGCATTTACAAGAGAAAAAATTGTCTGCATGACTCTCCTCAACTTTACAGAACTCCTAAGCTGATATAACCACCATCAACATATATATATATATATATATATATATATATATATATATATATATATATATATATATATACTAGTCGTTACCCGCGCAAAGTGGCGGCAGCGAATAATTTTTTTCGATGGTATGTTTCTTTTACAAAAATGTTATGTTCCAAAAGAAAATAAATGTATGAGACAATAGAATCCAAGTTTTGTGTTATTGGTTACATGTTACATCAAATAATCGATAAAAAGAAACAGTTCAACCAACTGGGCTAGCCTGGTTGGTAGAGTTTATTGTCTCTTGGAGTAGAAGTCTCATGTTCGAACCTGGGCAAAAGAGTTTCTAACTTTGGAGTTACTAATATGCTAACCATATAATCTTCCGTTAAAAAAAATGGTTCAAAGCGGCACAAAATATGAAATGTGTTAAAAAAAATGGTTCAAGGTTACACATTATTAATCACCATGTTTGTTGTATAGACTTAATCATCTTTAAAATTTTCGTTAGACTTCACTAACATTTTTGTATTGTCACGTGAGCAAACAAATATAAAAGATGTGATCCGAATTTAAAGAATATTATATATAAAATCATAAGTTTAAAAAAAAATATATTTAATTATAAACTAAATGAAAATAATATACATTAGGACATTAGGTTATGTCGTTTTAAACCAAATATAATAACAAAATTATTAACCAACATAAAATAATTTCAAGTTGAAGTTTGAATTAATGGTTTTACAATTAATTGACAGTACGTCTAAAGCATACTTGATAAACCACGATTAATTATATGATTGTCCAAGATTTAAAATCAATAGGCATCTAGAAACGCACCAACCATTATCTATTTAACTCTTCAAAAGTCATCTTCATTCCATCATAAGGATAACACAATTGCAACAAAGAACCAACTAATTATGATCTTCATTCCACCATTCCCTGCTTAACCACCTATCGAAAGTTGGAATGGAACAAAAATAAAAAGTGAGATTATAGAAAAAAGAATGCAACAAATACTGAATAATGTAACACATAGTCTATTTTCTAGGCTGATGTACTTGAGTAATTGAGGCAATACATGTTGATGTCCAAAATACATATCATAATTGTCTTCGGTATAAATTCAAAATTGACATTAAATAAGCCCTGTAAACAAATTAAACACAAAAAAAATGTTAGAAATCAAAAACAGAGAATGGTGCAAAAAAAATGACAAAAAAGATGAAATAAAGCAACAAAAATCGTATTTAAGAGCAAAGTAGGAGGTTAGCATATGACAAAATAAGTATTATAATGAAAGAAAGACACTAATAGTTAGAAGGGTAAATATATCATATTAGGTATGGTCTTTACCTCTTTATTTTCTTAGTTGTAAACAACCACATCTTTAGCAATATTTCCACTGCCCTTCATGACCGAATTAAAAAACATACCAGTATCCTGCAAAAAAATCATTCAACTTCCCATGTTACCCAAAACAAAATCAATGTTCATTACAGCATCTTAGTTTCAGTTAATTTACTCTTATAACATCCTACTTTCATTGTCATACTTCACAAATAGATTAAATAGAAACAAATGATGGTACAATCCTATAATGCACAATAGATAAAAGTGTCAGCCAAATGTGTACTTCCTTGTCGAGCCACCCTGAATAACATCAAAACAACATAAAACTCTTAATTTGTATAAATCCGTGTACGTGCAACAGATATCTCATACCCACAAAACACATACCCCTTTTTTAACATCCTTTTCGGAATCCAAAGTTGGATGTTGCAATTTGTTTTCCAAAGCTGCAAATACCAAACAAAAAAATTAAAAATTGCACCAACACCTTAATAGATGCTTCTTAGTAATTTAAAATCTCTTCCAAGCTACAATATTTGAAAAGTAGAAAAGCCCTGAACTTATTATCTACATCTATACACAAAACGATCAAAGAACACAAATTAATGCGATTAATAGTCAAAAGAAACTATATTCACAACCACTTTTGGGTTCCACCGTTCAAGGATCTGCATTAGCTCCACCGCTTTTAGATCCTTATATTTTAGATTAAAACCTATATTTAAAACAACCTAATCTTAGATATTGAGTAACAAAACCTGAATTGTTTGAGTAAGGAAGAGTAAAAAGATGAGAGATGGTCAATAATCAACTACAAGAATTAAAAAAAAACAAATAATAAGGTGAAATACAGGTCTTAAGAAGCTTACCCATAAATACAATGATATCACAGTTCATATGAACTCATTTAAGGGCCTATAAGCATACACACATACATATAGTCATACATACACACATACAGAGGAAGAGGGTTAATAATGGTGGTATTTTAGAGGGATACGCAAAGGGAAAATAATATAGCAGTGGTGATATCTCATTTCATATCTCCTTGTAGCTTTTCAAGTGAGAAGAGACATATCCTTGAAGCCTTAAGCTTTGATAGTTCCACAAGTTGTAAAAGGTTAAACAAATCGTAAATCATCTTTTTTTTCGAAGAACCGGAGGATATCTATGAAAGCGAAAGAGATGAATCATGAAAGATATCTGAGAAAGCGATAGTGGTGACGATAACCCAAAATCGAAACTGTAAACCTATGAAAGGAGTTGATCAAATGATCAAACAATATCGTGTGATAGAAAGCTTAAATTTTAACAAAAGCAAAATAAAAAACGCATGTGAAAAATGGAGATAATACCTTCTTGCAGGTGTGGACATAGGCTAAGATATAGACACAATCGGTGATAGCTTATGCTATTAATCTTCGTCGGTATCTTAAAACACAAAAACCAAACGAATAAAAACCGAGAAAGCGAAAATGGAAAAAAGATTACCTTAATTTAAGCTTCCATGGAATCGATTTGTCATTCATCATGGTCTGAAAGATAAATAGTGCCTTCATCAGGCCCTTCCTTTCCTCCTCTTCAACATCAATCGTGAAAATCAGTATTCGTCATAATCAGTATTTTATTCCCTTGAGGACTTTGGTGAGTACAAAGAAAAGCACACAGGTCGAACACTAACAACAATCAATCTCGCACCTAAAGAAGCAGCACGACCGGAGAATGAGACATTAGGGTTGTGAGGCGGTGTTGAAGTTCGTTTGAATTTGAGAGGAGTGACATTAGGGTTTCAGAGATAAAGTGGTTAATCGGTGGTGTGCCTTTTAAATTTCAAATCATAGATAAGAATAGCTAAAGAGTAAAAGAAAGAAAGATAAGTCAAAGTTGATGTTGAGCCGTAAACAAGATATGGATGTATTATTTAATTGCACTTTTAGCTTAAACGATTGTACCATTTAAATTATAATATTATTATTTTTCTGGGTTGTTGTACTTTTATCTTTATGGTTTGAACTCTTAAATCTATTTTTTAGAAATAGTAAGGTTTGTATAATATATATATATATATATATATATATATATATATATATAAAATAGTAAAATTTAATCCAATCTTATTGTCACTAAATAACTGCATAATTAAAGTGATAGATAACTAATAACTTGCCTGTTCTACTGATAAATATACAATGCTTATCTTATCCCTAAGTTCTGAAACCTAAACTTGCAAAAAGAACAGTAAAGTTAATATATGGTAAATATAAGAAAGCAGGAAATGCAAAGAATAGTATCCCCTGACCTGTGTACTAAACTGCAACTTATAAGCGTAAATTATGAGTTTAGCTTCCGGACGTGGAACTTTCATTAGCTCTAAGAAGATCTGTTACAAAAAATCAAATATTAAATTTTAAAATTTCGGTCCCTGACTTCAATGACATACTAATGATATAAATCCCGAAGACGGGTATTATGTACCTGTTCACATTTGCCCAAATTTTCTGGTTCTCCTTGATAGCCCTAAGCATATAAAATGTTAGTATGAATAAAAGATGTGGGTATGTAATGTCATGTAGAATGTAAATGCACCTTAAGTAGTTCCATCTCCTCCCTTGTAGGACAGCACTTTATAAGGTTCTCCACCTGATCAACATCCATTGCTGAATCATCCAAATTAAGGACATATTCCTGTTAAGTTTCACAACTAAAGCATTAAAAAACATTTATTAGAAAACTTAATTTTGAAATAAATGCATAATGTTTTGAGATTACCATCAATTCAGGCACTGGTGTCTTCACCATTAAAAGCAAGATTTCACAGTTATATGCCCGCCTATGATCAATCTGCAACAAGTACCAAATATAAACGAATCCTCCATAAAAAGGTGTGTGAAGTCATTCCACTTTCAGCATTAAGTACAGATAAAGATTTTGCATTCAATCAAAAAAGAAAATAAATTATTACCAGTTGTATTTTTCCGTTGGCAGAAGAAGCTGGAAGAGGTACAAGCCAATCCAGACTGCTAAACATTTCTTGAACTCTACCAAATGCTTCCACTAGGAGCCCCTCTTCTTCGAAACAAGACAAGTCTACTAGAACCATAGAAGCTGTAGTGTCCACTTCGGAGAAAAAAAGCTTCATCCAATAATAATAAAAGTCACTCAGATATAAATATATGTGTGTGAAAAGTGAAAACAAATACGAAATGCTTACGTTGTGAGGTTTCCTATATATAACAAATTAACAAGTTCAAAAAAGAACCAAAATCCTTATGTCCTGTGAGCGGGAGTAACGTAAAGAAAATACCTCAGCTTTAAAGTCTTTAGAAAATTGATCCTTAATGCCCCAAGATACATCGATTTCATTACGATTAAGCACTAAAGTATTTGACTTGATGAACGCTATGTTGAACATGGCAAAATACATAATATCGGCCTTCGCCATGTCATCATGCAAGTTAAGGCACTCCAGCACCACGTCACCCTGAATATGGCAATTAATATCTATTTTGACCACTTCACTTTCTGCCAGCAATGCATAGCAAAGGTCAGAAGATGTGCAAACCAAACACAGGTGAACCCTATCACCGACACTGATAACAAACAATCTCACATTTTTTCCTATGGTCACCTAAGTTCTAATTGTGTTCAGTAGAGCATTAAACATCAAAAAACATTTCAATATTGGCAATGTAACTTGTTGTAGCCTATTAATTGTATCCGGTTTAACAAATTTTGTGCGAACATGGCAATTTGTTTTTCTTTTTTATTGACATAAGGACAACAAACTATTTGAAATTTGCTCATTCAGTCACCAAAGTTCTAATCATGTCCAAAAGAGCCCTAAACACGTGGCATCCAGCTTCTCCTATGTGGAAACTAGCTTGGTTCCTATGTGTTAATATTCTGGGGTTTGATATGTTTCATAAATAATTTCATCCAAACAAACCCAAATGAAATATAGATAAAACATATAATACCAAGATTCGAACGAAATTTGATGTTAAGGGCCCTACTGGACCCAATTAGAACTTTGATGACAAAATTTTTCAAGTAGTTTATTACCATTGTACGACATTAAAACCTATTAAACTGGCTACCACAGGTTACGTTGCCAACATTAAAAAATGAAAATTGATGTTTAGTGCTCTACCGAACACAATTAGATCTTAGGTGACCGATTGAATAGATATCATACAGTTTGTTATGCGTATATGATATATGTCACTAACCCATAAATTATTAAGGGCAATAAACACTTCCACTTATAATCAGAGCTGGAAATAAGGTAATCTGGATAGACCAGTGGTATAACATACTATAATGATGCTAGGACATCTTACCTGATTGTAAGACCGCACATTCGTATTCCTTCTTGGGGTTGAAAAAAGAAGTTTAGAACTTTTATCAACATGTAATAATGGATTACGTCCATAAATTCTAAATATAGGACAACAACCCCCTTTTCCATCAAAATCAGGAATCATTCTCATCATCACACAAACTAATGTGAGTGGTTTGTCTGCTGGAGGCCATTGCTCTTCAGCCTTCCTCTTTAACACATACTGTAAGTATCTCAACTGAGAAGCTAACGAATTCAATGGTGACATCAACTGTGGCGACACATCAGGTGGGGCCTGCTTATAAACCATGTCCAGGGCACTATTTGCAGCAGTGTAATGTTTTCTGTAAAGTAAAAGAGCAGCCGACATGAAAGCCAAAACTGGCCAACAACCAACCTCACAGTGCATTAGCACAATGTTATGTTGTCCACGAGAGAACCAGCTATCGCATGATTTAAGAAAATGGTGGATCACCTCCACTGAGAGCAATGGGCAACCTTCATAGTGCCGAGGGTAGTCCATTATATGAATAAAGTATTGTGATAAAAATTGGTGGATCTTGCTTGCTGTATCTCCCTCCCGAAAATTGAAAATCAAGACTGAAGATTCAGGGTAAGTTTCTTGAAATTGATTTTGTTGGGGTTGAAACACACTTTTATTCAGAACTAGAACAAAAGAGAAGAGCTTACACACTCAATATTACAAGAAAAAGAAACAACCCTCTAATACTCACTCTAAGTATTACACACTACACTCTCTGTTTTGTGGTGTCTTACAACTGATATTACAACTTCTATTTATACTAAAGCTAGCCACTATAAGTACTGTGACAATTTATTGTGTTCACCGTGTGAAATAAAGAAGCTGTCAATTCTAGTTGGTATTGTCAACAAAGGAGACATTCATTTGTCAACAAAAGAGGGTGGTGCAGCTACTCATGGCAGGTTCACACCCAAGTAGGTTTACACTCACATTCTCCCCCTTAAACCTAACTTGGCTCAAGATTCGTCACTCCGATCATGTTTCGCATTTCACCATGTTTCACGTATGCTAAAGCCTTTGTAAAGATGTCCGCCCGTTGATCCTTCGAGTTGACATATTCCACTATAATTTGCCCACATTCAACACATTCTCGTATGAAGTGATAACGAATGTCAATGTGTTTGCTTCGACCATGAAACACAGGATTTTTCATCAATGCGATTGCTGACTTGTTATCGACATATAAGGTGATAGGCATAATATGATGTCCCGTGAGCTCCTTCATGAGATTAGCAAGCCAAATGGCTTGACATGCTGCTGTTGTAGCTGCCATGAACTCGGCTTCACACGTGGACAAAGCAACAGTCTTTTGCTTTTGGGATTGCCAAGTTATCGCATTCCTTCCCAGATAGAAAATCATTCCACTTGTGCTCTTGCTATCAACAGGGTCACCTCCAAGATCACTACCGGTAAAACCAACCAAATCTTCAATTTCACGACCTCTTCCATAGTTGATTCCATAATCAACAGTTCCTTTTACGTATCGCAAGATGTGTTTCACAACTTGGAAATGCAAAGTGGTTGGTTCCTCCATGAAACGACTTGCAATTCCAACCGAAAATGACAGGTCTGGTCGAGTGTGAGTCAAGTACCTCAAACAACCTACCACTCGCCTATATTCAGTTGGATCAACTTTTCCACCATCTTCATCCTTCTTAACCTTCAACTTAGGTTCCATTGGTGACGTTGTCGGATTGCAATCCAGCAACCCAAATTGCTCTAAAATCTTCTTTGCATAAGCCGTTTGTCGCAAAGATATTCCCCACTTCTTTTGCGAAACTTCGATTCCAAGGTAGTAAGAAAGTAATCCCAAGTCACTCATTTCGAATTCTTTCTTCATTTGTTCTTTGAATTCGACAACATCATTAGTGTTCGACCCGATAATGATCAAGTCATCAACATAGACACCAACAATAAGAATTTTGTCTTTTGAGTTCCTTTTGTAAACAGCTGGGTCTTGTGAACTTTTTGTAAAACCAAGCCTTTTTAAGCTTTTATCCAAACGAATGTTCCAAGCTCGAGGAGCTTATCGTAGACCATAAAGAGCTTTATAAAGCTTGAACACCTTGTGACTGTTTGCTTTATCAACATATCCTTCTGGTTGGGTGACATAAACCTCCTCTTTGAGATCTCCATTGAGAAAAGCCAATTTGACATCGAGATGGTGGACAACCCACCCATGTTGAGCTGCTAAGGCAAGAATGAGCCTTACGGTGTCAAGTCGTGCTACTGGTGCAAAAACTTCATCAAAGTCGACTCCTTCCTTTTGTACAAATCCTTTTGCTACAAGTCGAGCTTTATGCTTCACCACTTTTCCCAAGTTGTCTTTCTTCACTTTAAACACCCATTTCAAACCGATTGCTTTGTGTCCGGGTGGCAAATCGGTAAGTTGCCATGTCTTGTTCTTCTCGATTGCAATCAACTCTGTTTGCATAGCCTCCTGCCATGCCTTAGAGGTTACCGCCTCTTTAAAATTCAAGGGTTGATCCGATGCAATCATCAACAATTCTCCGGGTTCAAGGAACACATTTTCGGTTTCAGAATAAATATCGGTTAACGGACGCAATCCCCTTGGCCCAATCTCACTAGAAGGGCTTTCCATATGGGGCGAGGTTGAAGAAAACGGGGCTGAGACAGTAGTATGTGGAGCTGGTTCAGGCTCGTCAAATTCAGCATATCGTTTTCCAACTTGGATAGCATCGATTCCTGGGCTGTTTGGTTGTTCCGGATTGATTTCGGGGTCATTTTGAGGTGTTTCGAGGTGTATTTGGGGTTGTGGTTCAATTATGATAAAGGTCTTAGGAGTCGCCATCTCTTCTTCTTTGTTTTTGTACCAATTCCATTCTTCTTTTTCGTCAAAAACAACATCGCGACTAACTCGCAACTTTCGGTCTTGCGGATCAAACAAACGGTTGCCTTTAGTTCCATCTTCCACACCTAAATACACCATCTTCTTACTTCGATCATCAAGCTTCTTCAAGTGACCACCTACAAGTTTAGCAAAAGCAATACAACCAAAAACTTTTAGATGTTCAAGGTTGGGCTTTTTGCCAAACCACGTTTCATAAGGTGTCTTGTCGGGAAGTACTTTTGTTGGCAGGCGGTTGAGAAGATAAACTGCATGTCTAACCGCTTCTCCCCAAAACTCTCCCGGAACATTTCTACCTTTGAGCAGACTTCTTGCCATGTCCATAACGGTCCGATTTCGCCTTTCTACAACTCCGTTCTGTTGAGGCGAATATGGTGTCGTAAGATGCCTTTGAATACCATTTTCTTCACAAAATAATGAGAATTCTTTTGAAGTGAACTCTCCCCCTCGGTCCGTTCGAAGTGTCTTTATTTGATAACCCGAATTCTTTTCAACCATCAACTTGAACCGTTTGAAAGCGCTCAAGGCTTGAGACTTCTCCGATAGCATGTAAACCCACATCCACCGGCTAAAATCGTCTACTAAAAGGAGAAAATATTTACTCCCTCCAACAGACGTAGGTGTGATCGGACCACATAAGTCCGCATGAACAAGTTGTAGAGGTTTTTGCGCTCGAAAAACTGCATGATCCGGGAAAGGAATTCGGGTTTGTTTGGAAAGAACGCACCCTTCACATACTTGGTTTGGGTGCTCAATCTTTGGGACTCCGATTGCCATATTCTTTTCGGACAACTTCTTTAAGGCGAGAAAGTTAACATGACCGAGTCTAGAATGCCATATCCAAGCTGGTTCGTCTTTTGTTGCTAAAAGACAAGTCGGTCTACCGGTCCTTAAAGGAGTTTTATATAACCGGTTTGGGGATCGTTTAACTCTCAAAAGTAGAGTTTTGTTTCTGTCAAACAATGTCAGATCCGACCCATCCATTATGACCCGACTCCCTTCCTCCGTCATTTGTCCAAGACTAATAATATTGTTTTTTAGACTTGGAATGAAATATACCTCATTAAGGAGTCTTTGGTCGCCATTTTTGCTATCGAATAAAATCGACCCTTTTCCCAAAATAGCGACGGTCGAACCATCCCTAAATTTCACATGGCCAGTAACGTGCTCATCTAGTTCGCGAAACTTTGAGCGGTCTCCAGTCATGTGATTGCTAGCACCATTGTCGAGATACCATACCTCAGACTCGACTCGACTTTCTCCCGATGCAAGAAGATTAACACAAATCTTCTCTCTTAGAGACACTTTTTTGTGTGCATATTCTTGTGAGGTTGCCATCATTAAAATAGGCTCTTCTTCGTTGGCTTGAGTGAGGTTTGCCTCCTCACCTCGATTCTTGTTTGGACACTCCGAAGCATAATGACCAAATTGTTCACAAGTAAAGCATTTGATTTTACTTTTATCCTTTCGAGAAGGATTATGGTCATTCCGATTTGTATTGTACTCGCGACCACCTCCTTGGCCACGTCCACGACCTCGACCTCGTCCCCGGCCTCGGTTACCATGTCCTCCTCGTCCTCTTGAAGTGTTTGACGAGTTTCTCTCGCCAGTTTGCTTCGAACGAGATGCCCACTCGGCATGTGTAAGCAATAGAGAAGGTCCTTCTTCTTTTTCTCCATATCTTCGAAGTCTCTCTTCATGGGTCTTAAGACGACCCACAACTTCTTCCACCGTCATATTCTTCAAATCTCCGAATTGCTCGATCGATGTTACGATTTGTATAAATCGTATCGGTACGGCTCGCAAAAACTTCTTCACAACCGTAATTTCTTCAATCTTTTCACCAAGAGATCAAATACCGGTTACGATAGTATTCAATCTCATGGAAAAATCATCTACCGATTCACTGTCTTTCATCCGGATCACCTCGAAGTCACTTCTCAAGGTTTGAGCTTTAGCCTCCTTGACCCGATCGGCTCCCATGTGCATCATCTTGAGCGTTTCCCATGCTTCTTTAGCTGTGTCCTTCTCAGCTAACATCAGAAGTACGTCCTCTTGAATTGCTTGATAAATAGCCGCAAGAGCCATCCGATCTTTACGTTCCTCCGTTTCTGCATTTTTAATTACATCCCATACTCCTTGTGCTTGTAAATTCACTCGCATTTTTATGGCCCACACCGCGTAGTTCATCTTCGTGAGCATTGGATAGTGTAACGTAACGCTACCGTCTTTCCCGGTCCTTTGAAAACTTTCAACTCCGGCTTGAGAAGATGACGAGGTTGGTGTAGTCATTCTTGGCATATACTTGGGCATACACGAGTAAGAATATATATATATATATATATATATATATATATATATATATATATATATATATATATATATTGAAGTATGGGGACCAATATGAACTTTTCAGAAGTTCAGGGGGCAAACAGAACTTTTACAGAAGTAAAACAGGGACTAAATTGAAATTTTTCTGAAAAACGGGACCAAAATTGCAATTTTTCTGAAAAACAGGGGCTAAATTGCACTTTCTGGAAGAACAGGGGCTAAACTGCAATTTCCAGAACTTTGGTCAGCTGCTGACGTCACTGCTGATGTCACTGCTACA